CTTTATTTTATTTAAGCAAAAGCAAATACTGTCACTGTGAGTTTGTGACTCAGATGTCTGTTAAAATTAAAGCTGGCTATGTTTTGCAGTTTTTATTATTTGCACTAGAAGCCAGTGGTTAATGCTATTTGACTCATTTAAATAAAATGTTGAAAATGCAGTGGTGCTTTGTATTAATGGGGTACAATACAAGAAATACAGAGAAATGTGCGGCCCACTGGCAAAAGCCGTATGACAATTTGGCCCAATGAAAAATCTAATTGAATACCCCTGTGCTACAAGGTCGGGAATCAAATCTCACTCAGTTCTCTGATGAAGAACTTTCGTTAAATTTTCCACTCTCACTAAGTCCACCAAAACTTTCTCGAAAACTTATCACATGGAATGAGTGAGTTTTGGAAAGTTGCCCACCAGTTGGTTATGCAGTATCAGCCTTTGGGCTGTTTTCTCTGAGGTGAATAATCCAACTGTAAAACATGTATGTACACGCACAAGCACACATACTGTACATGAACATACACACACATGCACGCACATGGAATGTTAAAAGGCTCAGGTATGTAGCCAAAATCTTTTTAAAAATCATTTCCACATGAATATATTCAAAAACTTATTCAGCCATGAAACAAGAAACAAAACAATCAAAAGTTATTCACAGAAAGCTGCGAGAAGCCAGAGCATCTATATTCAAGAGTGTCTTGCGGTCTGTAAGACAGAGAGGCGAGATCCATCCTATCTGATTGGACTTACAATGACGGTGCGGCGATCGTCAGGAAGACGGGTCAAATACGGCCCGATTCGGCCTCGTGGAAGACGGATCCGAGTGTGGCGGGTGGGGATGGGGAGAGAGAAAATAACAGTTGAATTCACACGTTAGCAAATCCAAACTTGGCATGGCCGACGGGCAGAGCCTGCTCTGGGGGCAGAGCACCTCCAGCTTTCTGTAACACATAGCCCCTTGGCCCCAGGTCAGTGATGGGGCGCCTTTCTCTCGTGTTTCTCTTTGTGTTTCCCAGCCGTGCAGACTGTTCTGCTGTCACCAATTACAGAGTGTGAATTATACCCGAAGGAGCTGCTCAAAGCTCCCCCTTACATTTCTACACCACACCACCCTTGGGGCTCTTAAGGGGGGGCAGCGCATACGGCCAGAACGCGGGAGCTAAGAAGAGCCACCGGATGGCTGCTCCCGCCCCCCCAGTGGCCCGACCAAAAACACCCCATGCTGAACAAGGGAGAGGAGCAGCGAGAGGGGGCTGACCTTGAAGCCGTATTTCCTGCTGATGTGGTCCTCCACAGACAGCATGGATATGTGGAAACTGGGCAGAAGGATGCTTCCCAGGATTCCCTCTTCCTTGTCATCTACAAGAAAACCGACACATATGGACACGCCATACACACCATAAACAGCACGACAAACTCAAGGCTGTGTGTGTAAACACTATGTTCAGGAGCAGTCAGCCACATTAATGCCTGTATCACTGTTCATTTCATTGGGGGGGGGAAATCGCAGCCTTGTCTTTCACCCTCTAATTGGCAAAAACCGCAGCGCCACACAAACAGCAGAATATCTATTTTGACGTGACGGCTGATTCAGAAGGTTTACTCAGGAAGTATCTGAATCCTCAGCTTTCATAGGAGCCATCTGTGCCATCCCATAATAACAGAGACACACACAGTGAAAAACACAAACAGCAGCGCAGCCCAGCACCTCCTACCAGCAGCCACAGGGGAGCCGTCCACTTCCAAACCGGCATGTTACTATGTGATAAACAGGAGCCATCCAGCTGAACGAGCTGGTGACGTGTGGCTGCCATTGAGATGCAGGGGGTCTGGCACCAGGTGCGAGTAACTTGCTGGGAGTTGGAGCCCAGGCTGATCTGGGCCACTCGTTGGGTTTATCTCCAGGCCCTACCATAATTAATTCATCTGGTGAGAGATGGCAGGCGTCTCCGGGCAAGCTCCAACTTTATGGGGGTAGCTACTCCAGCTTTATGGGGGTAGCTACTCCAGCTTTATGGGGGTAGCTACTCCAGCTTTATGGGGGTAGCTACTCCATCTGTATAGGAGTGGTGGTGGCTACTCCAGCTTTATAGGAGTGGTGGTGGCTACTCCAGCTTTATAGGAGTGGTGGTGGCTACTCCAGCTTTATAGGGGTGGTGGTGGCTTCTCCAGCTTTATGGGGTAGCTACTCCAGCTTTATGGGGGTGGCTACTCCAGCTTTCCAGAACAGATTAACCAGAAAAGCTCACAACCCAAACATCAAGGCACAGAGTAAATCACACGAAGCCCCATCCGCATGGGCTGATCAGTCACCAGCCTCACGATCAGAGACACAGGAGGCAACGAAGCCGGCCATCCCATAATAACCGAGGGGGCCCTGCTAGAGGGCTGCTAGAGGCGCCACCCAGAGAAGCGCTTCAGGCAGGACGCGGCAGGGGGCAGAGACCGTTGCTTACGGCCATGGTTACAATCACCGGGGTTAGTCTACACCCATAACCAGATTCCTCAATATTCTCCATGAACCAGAGACACCCAACCGACAAGTAAGGAGGGGGAACCAGGGGATAGAAGGAAAGAGAGAGAAAGAGTTAGCAAATGAAAGATAGGAAAGCAAAATTAGGAACAATACAGTGAGAGGAAGCGAGTGATGAAGAGGACAGAGAGAGAGGGAAAAATCCAGCTGTCCTCATGATCCCTGGCAGAGGAAAGCTTCACCATCTTCTGGGTGGCCTTCAGCCCGAGATGGACATACGGAGCGGCTTACTGAGGCGCGGACTTGACTTAATGGCAGGAGTCATGGGAATGAAAGGACTGCAGCAGAAGGGGGCCCTGAGACGGCCATTTCCCGTCCCCCCCTCACGGCCAAGGGGCTTGCAGGTCAGCTGCCTCAGAGGGCTTAAGAGGAGGACCTACAGGAGAACAGCCCAAACCAAGCCCTGACTTTAGAAGTTTCCCGCTATAAAAGATTCATGTGATTTATTCCTTTTAGGTTCCAAACACAGGCTCTCCTTTCCTGGGTGAGGGACCTCCTGGGATGACCTCTGACCCGATGGGCCCCTGGAGCAAGATCATCGCAGGTCACGGTGCGGTTTGGACATGGACCTCCTAACAACATCCACCGACAGCCACATTTTCGTTACTTTCCCATGTCTCATAATCGGGATGTATTCTTCAACTGGAAGACGTAACTTCGGAGAAGTCATAAACCCTGAAGAGCAGTTTGTCACTCATTATACGTGAAAAATTTGTGCGACCATATCAAGAATGAATCTTTATAGTCATGGTGAAATTCCTAACTGCAATTTAGGCCGGAAAAATTCTAAAGAAATTGGATATTCACACAATAAAAAACAGCAGAGAAATGGCAGCACCCTCTGCATTAAGATAACACCATGTAACGTGGCCATATTAACGAACGTAAAGGCCAGACATATTCTCTGCTTCAGGCCTGGTTCTGAAAAGGTTAACTGGAGAGCTACAGTGACAGACTGTCAGGAGATGTTCCACGCTGATGACAGTGAAATGGGGGGGGGGGGGGCTGCTGGCACTAATTATTTATTGGACAGAGCTAATAGGGCTCCAAGAATGGAATGATCATTAGATGATTCACACGGCCGAATGGAAAGCGGGGAGAAAGGCGGCATGACGCCTTGGTGTGAGCGGCTGGGCAGAGCACAGGAACCCAAACAGAGCATCCAAAGCTAAATATGAACATTCAGGTTACTTAGCATGTCCCAGCTGCAGTCCCACTGACCGGTGCTACGCTAACATACAGACCGGAATGGCTCATTTGCAAAGGCAGAGCGCCTGTGATCGGAAGCCCTGTCACCAAGAATCATTTATTCATCGTTTTATTTATTTTGAAAATGCTTTTATCCAAAGTGACTTTTTTTGTGAAGGCGGGGTCAGACTGACCCTGGGCCAGCTGGGGTTAAGCACCTCGCTCAGGGGCTCACTGGTGAAACTACTATTGCAACCCTGGGATATGAAGAGGCGACCTTCCGATCACAGGCGCAGCGCCCTCACCCGCTGAGCCTTCTGCCAGGAGAGGATGTGTGAATCTGGGCACGGCGGGGTGCACGTCACCAGGGCTAACGGGCACCGTTTCACACCTCTGCAAAGCTGTGAACTGCAGCTACACACAAAGTGCAATTTTTTAACGGAAAGACCCCCCTGGGAAAGCGAGGCTGATGGAAACGGCTAGGAAGTCTCGCACTTTGGCTGGGCGCTGTTACAATTTAATTATTAAAAAAGTCGTGAAAAAACTGAAAGCTGTGCATGCGGCGACTGGCCCAGGAGGCCGCGGGGCGGAGCACTCACCCCTGTAGTAAAACAGACACATGTCGGACAGCACGAACCATCGCTTCTTCCAGAGCTTCATCCCCGTGCTGTCCTGCGGTGGGGAACAACAGCAGATGTGGTCACTTCCCTGTCCCTCCTGCTTCCCCTCGCTCTGCTGCCTCTGGCCCCCTTCTATTCTAACTGCAGCGAATTGGCCTGGTTATCTGTGCCAAACCAGATATGCGGGGCTTTGTTCCCCCTGTGCCCCAAGAGATGATGGTATCTTCCAGCTCTGCTTCCCTATCTGCAGCCATGGTTTGGTGTTTACTTAAAGTATTACATCGTCAGCTTCATCCTCTGCCTGCTTTTTCCAATATCTTTGGCCGAGTAATGATTTACGCTCCACAAACCGGATCTTAGGGGGAGGGGGGGTGCAGATGACCTGCTTGCTCTCCTTGACATCAGCCGAGCTCCTACAGAGCTGCCGGGATTGCGCTCTCCTCCAAGCCAGTAACGCCTCTTCATGGGGTGCCCATACAGCCCACTGACTGGAAGGGGAGTACTGGGGCCCAGGTGCATTATGGACTATACAGCTATTAGTGTGCTCCAATGCCCAGGTCAGAAACATCTATAACTGTCAGATAAGTCTGGCAGGAAAGCTAAGGACGCTTTTCCACTGCACCAAGTACGGTACTTTTGGTATTTTCGCTTTTCCACTGACTTCCATTCGAGTACCAGTACCAAAAGTACCAAACCAGCTGGGTACTTCTTTGGTACGTCAGTACTTTGGGGTGGGAAACGCTTTCTTTGTCAATTGGTTATGCAAATATCCTGCCTCTGAAACACAATACAAACGGAGCCTTGAAAACAGCTGTGAACTCAGAAAATAATGATAAACAAAGTGTTAAAAAATGCGATCTGGTCTCAGAGAATGCAAGCAGTGCTCATGCAAAAGCAGTGGAGTTTTTTTCCTATGACAGAGTCCCCCATGCTATAATGTACATATGGAACTGAAAGTAAGAAACAGCCTTGTCTTAATCTAGCTGAATAGCAATGTAAGAACTGAATGTGCATGACATGCGATGTTGGTATTAATACCACACATTGTCCAGCCCTGTAATATGCTACAATCATTTTTCAAATTCAGTACAACACACTCCGCCTTGCAGTGTGATGTCATTTGGAGCCGGTATCACTTCTTATGCCAGTTGTAAACCAACACCTTGAAGTGCCAAAAGTATGGAACCTGTTGTGGTGGACAAGCACCCTTTGTGTTTCTGCTGACCCACTAGGCCTGGACTCTGGAGGTTCTGTGCAGAATTTGCAACAGAGGTAATCACACGATGGCGCAATGAAACCGATTCCGAGCAAATCGTGAGTCTCGAAATACGTCTTTCCATCAAAGTTAGACGTTTTCCCATTAACCAATCAGAAAAGGTGCAATTTGCATTGCCTGGTGAATCCCAGCCAAACATGATATTCCTGCAGATACCCAAAGGACATAACACACACACAGAGGGGAAAAAAAGGGACCAGTCTCACCCCCCCCCCACCCCCCCGCACCAACCCACAGACACATTTCCAGCACATTCTGCACTGGAAGCCATTGTGCCCCTCAAACTGGCAACACTCTTAAGAACTGAGTGTAAATTCTCCCTCACAGCAGTTTGAAACACCGCTCCTATATCAAGTCCTTCCTAACTCAGTGGCAGAAAGGGTAATGTTCCACAATCTCACAGGGAATTGTGGGGAATGGTGAAATACTGACTGTGAAATAATCACACACTAGGAAATAAAACATAAAATGAAAAACAGTTGTATTTTTAAGCATACCTGTTTGTAAAGCCACCCACTCTTAACAACTGGAGCGTTGGGGTTCCTCTTTATGGAGTTGGACCTCTTTCCAAAATTGTGCACTTTTTTTGATGGCCTTGACGTCTGAAGATAGGAAACATGAATACTTGTTAATAGACACTCCCCGGCCAATGGAGGCACAGAAAGGAAGCGAATGGAATGTGACAGGGGGGCGCACCCTGGCCACGGGGCTGCCTGTGTGGGCCGTGTGATCCGAGCCGCCCGTGTAGTTGGACGCCTCGCTCATGGTGCTCAGCGGTCGCTCCTTCTTCTCGTTGGCTGGGGCTTTCGGAGCAGGTCTGGGTGGGAGGGACGGGAAAGTGGGATGAGGAACTGGACCTGAACAAGGGCACTGGGATATGGCATGATGTGACCCCCGCAGCTCGGCGAGGCCATGTCTCAGACAGCCCAAGCAGAGAGCGACAGGCGAGGAGCACAGAAAAAGCAGAAGCCGAAACAGCTACAGCTGATGCAGCTCTGCACTTCTAACCTCAATGACAGGTAGGCCTACATCACGGGAATCCCCCATCTAACCTCTGTGACAGGCAGGCCTGCATTACGGGAATCCCCCATCTAACCTCTGTGACAGGCAGGCCTGCATCATGGGAATCCCCATCTAACCTCTGTGACAGGCAGGCCTGCATCACGGGAACCCCCATCTAACCTCTGTGACAGGCAGGCCTGCATCACAGGAATCCTCCATCTAACTTCTGTGACAGACAGGCCTGCATTACAGGAATCCCCCAGCCACGGAAAAATACAAACATCCTTGAACGGCTTCATTCCATCTTAAACACTGAAATGAGTTTAAAGAGGCCTGATCTTCCTGGAACATATCGCGTGATGTGCAGTACAGTGCTATCGCCTGGAGGAAAACACAGTACCTGTAACAAAGAGGGCAGTGACACAGTCAGGTGATGGAGGTCAGTCCATGTCATACACACACAGTTTGTTGGGACCCTCCATTAATTTCTATGAGAAGAACCCTCATCCCAACATGACGACCCTAACCCCGCCAAGCTGCAACCTTAACCCCACCCAGCTGTAACCTTAACCGTAAGTAACCAAACAAAACACAAGATTTCTGGCCATTTTAGCAAGCATCTAGTAAGAGGTTGGAGGCGATGTTGGTTTCTGGAAGCTTTGAATACACAAAAAATGTCGCACCAAGGCTGGAACAAAAATACATTTAGATAATTGGACAGATAAAAAAAGGTAATTTCTATCCGGCTGAAGGATAAAGTGCCCCCCTATCATAAAATGGTACAGGCCAGTTCTCCACACTCCGTACACCCAACCAGGTTAATTCACATTCCCTGACCTGATCTTTAAACACTGACCACTCACGGGAGCGAGGCGTATCCATCAGGAGCCTTGCAGGGGTGCCGCTGAGCCCCCAGCTCCTCTCCAGCCGGCCCCTCTCACCGTTTGTCTCCTAATTAAGCAAGGCGCATTAACAACCTCAATATGCCCGGAGATAAATACAGTTCAGAAGCAGCGGTGTGGCAGCAGGTGGGGTCATCACCCGTCCTCTGCATGGTGCGGTCATGGCTGATGCTGATTGGAGGATGTGTGGGTCTCTCTAATGCTACAGTGATTCTACACATGGTATAAATTTTGGTGGTTCCAGCATATCAGAAACAGCCACCTTCCTGGCATTTTCATGGATTACAGTGCATAGATCAGGGGTTCTCAAATCCGGATGCAGACAGAACTGCAAGTTAATCCGAACCCAGGCAATGATGCATGTTATGAATCAACTTGGTAAACGTAAAAAGTTAATGTAGTTTGAAGTACAGAAATACACCCCCCCCCCCCATGACAGAGTTGAAATGATCAGCGAGGGTTAAAAACTTCCCATTTCTGTTATATATTAAAGGTAATCACAAAAGTTCATGAAATGCTGTGTTGTTACCGTTTTTACTGAAAATACTGTTGCGGACTTCAGACTTTGAAAAAGAATCTGATGCGGATCTTTGATCAAAAAGTTTGCGAACCCCTGGCCTAGAGGTCACAGAGAGTGGTGTGATGAACAAAAACCATGCAGGCAGAAGGTGTCTGACGCCAAAACCACCCTGGGGAATGGGAGAGGTCAGAGGAGCGCAGCCAGACTCATTACAACTAACAGGAAGGCCACAAGTGCAAAAATAACAGCACAGTACTACACTGCTATGGAGAAAGACTCAGAAAGCAAAATTCATGTAACTCAGAAGTGCCTCTGGAGACAAAGAGGCACCTACCTTACATTAGATATTATATGTTGGCTCTGGGTGTTTGAGCATGCGAGTGAGTGTCGTGTAAACTGTATCTGAATAGGCGAGGAAGAGGCTCGGAGCTCGTGGGTCACTGTAAATTATTTGTGTAGCTCATGAAGATACCTTTTTATATTTTCTGTTGAGTGCATCTCATATGGAGAAGCAGCTAGTCCCTAAATGGCAGGAATAGGCAGCAACACATGCACGCACACGCACATCTACAAACACATGCAAGGTACAAGCAGCGTTGCATGCATGCACATGCACACACGCATGCACATGCACACACGAGACACAAACAGCAATGCATGCATGCACACACACATACGCGCACATGCAAGGCACAAGCAGCGACGCATGCATGCACACACGTGCACACACAACACAGACAGCAATGCATGCAAGCACACGTGTATATACACGCACATCCAAGGTTCAGGCAGCGGCGCATGCATGTGCACACACACACACGCAAGAAACAGGCAGTGAGGCATGCATGCACATATACATGCATGCGCAAGGTACATGCAGCGACACATGCATCAACATGCACAAACACAAGGTACAGGCAGCGATGCATGCATGAACGTGCACGCACGGACACAATGTACAGGCAGTGACACACGCATGCACATGCATACACACACGCAAGGTACAGGCAGTGACGCATACATGCACATGCGCATATACACGCACATGCAAAGTACAGACAGTGAAAAAGTAATCAAATCAAAGTGAGAGCGGCAGAGATGCAGGAGGATGCACTGACGCGGTTACGGGAGTAAGGCTGCCATGGGATGGGGCTGTGACTGTGTGAGAAGAGACACGCTTCTCACATTTCAAACTCAATCTGTTCACACCCCGCGCCTGGGGGGGCTGACTCTGCAGATGTCTTAATGTCGGGGGTATTTAAGAACAGAGCACCATGTATCCCATCGTGTGTGAACTGGCATGCTAAGGATCAGCTTCACAAAGAGAGAGGCTTTGTTTGCACATGGGGACCCTTAGTATGTCCCCTGTAACATTCATGTCACACTGCTCTCCTGTAACTATCTGCCTTCCCTGATTAGCCAGATGCAACATCCCCTTTAAAAGTACACCTGTCCCTTTAAAAAGTCTGAGCCGTCCTTCAAAATTAGCGAAATTTCGGATGGTGGCAGCTGCTAGCTGAAGCCGACAGAGGAAGCAAGATTCACGACTGAATATGAGCCAGGCGGAGCTGAGCAGCGCAGAAAGGAGGTGTGTCAGGCAGGGGCAGGGGGGCGTCAGCGTTAGGAGCCGAAGACAGAGGTCAATAGGAGAAAAGCAGCAGCAAGACAGAGACGGTCTCGCCTTCAGAGGACGAGAGACAGGGAGCATCCAGGAGCGCAGCTGAATATTACCTGCTTATTACAGGGTGAACCAGTTTCCCATAATTCAGGCTAAAAACAGAAAAGGGGAAAAAAACACATGAACGATTGCAGGAAACGGAGCATCCACAGGAAAACGCTGAAATACACAGCAAAATCACGGCCACAATTGGGAAGCACCCGGCAGACCACAGCGAAGACAGAGCGAGCCTTTAAAATGCAGAACAGAGCGCCTGTGCATGCTGGGTATTTAAGTCAGTAAATCAGCCTGCATCCTCTCCCCATCTTCCTCACTGAATACCCCCCCCGCCCCCGTCACTGACTGTTATTGGGATTGTTTACACTCGTATCCGCAGTTTGCACTGGCCAGGCCTCCGGGGTGAAATGTGGATGGGGGTGAGAAAAGGAGAGGAAAGGGGATCCCAGCGGACAAGGGGTACAGCCCCCCTCCCTTTTGGCAAGTGGTGGTGAGGGTCCCGTTGGCCACACAATCTGTCACAAGCAAACTGCCGGCATGAATTTTACATGGGCAGTCTGCGGAGCGGAACCGGGGGCCGGAGCCCGGGTGCCAAGCGGAGATGATGCGTCCAGATTACAGAGTCAACAAAGGGATGGAGCCGGACAGAATATCAGCCTGGCGCATTACTGCTGACATCACGCTGCTCCAAACAGACCCCCCTACTCACCAGGGCCGACCCACCAAACAGACCCCCCTACTCACCAGGGCCGACCCACCAAACAGACCCCCC